ATGGAATAGTTTGCACTTGAGCAGGATGTATCCCTGTCTCTTATACACATCTAGATGTGTATAAGAGACAGCATCTACTCTGTGGCCAGCGCTCTTCCCCCTCTCTCTCTCTCTCTCTCTCTCTCTCTCTCTCTCTCTCTCTCTCTCTCTCTCTCTCTCTCTCTCTCTCTCTCTTTGTCGATAATCTAGTTTTCCTCTATTTTCCTCGCGAGACACCGGGTCAGTACCTCCTCTCATTGGACCAAATGGGATCTGTGGATTTCATTCGGCGTCGTCTATCTTTCTTTGTCTTTTTTGTTTCCCCTTTTTTCCCCTTTGAGAAAACAACAATCACAAAAGCTTGTACAGGCAGAGGGTGGGGGGACGGGGGGGAGACCCCTGACTTCAAACCATTCTAAAAAGCAATCGGGCAGCTCTTCAGTAGGTAAACGAACAGAGTGGACTGGGGCGGCAGTGCCCTGTTGGTTTGGAAAGGATAGTTTCCTCAGGAATCTTGTAAGAAGAAAAGGTAGGGAGTCTAAATCTGTCCGCGGGATTTGCCACAGTCATGAGAAATCCATCGGTCCCATCCGGTGAACTGTCCGTGGCGCACCCTGACACCATGATTTGACAGTTTATCCCTCCTCTATAATGGCTCATCCAGGTTTGTTTTTGGGGCCGGCAATGATGGCAATCGTATCATGCCTTCCATCTGATTAGTGTTATCTAATACAAGATAATGAGGAGTTCGTAATGGCATTGCCAGGCTTACCGGCTGTTCCCTTTGTCAACGAGTATGCTCATAGTATGCTACTGAATGAATGTGTCACACAAAATTGAACTTTGGTGTGTTCTACATTTCTGTAAGAAGCATCGTCCCGAATGATACATGGCCTTTTCTCTTTTTTTTTTTTGGATGCAAGGGGGCTGGTGCTATCTGGCTTTTAATATGCTAATGAAACTTGGATTGCTGTCATTTGGCTCTTGCCCATTGTCCTTGCAAGATGCTCTCTGTTGATAAACAAAAGAGACAACTGCGCCTGTGACCGCTGCACAGTTCAGAATTCGAAGAAATAACAGCCCACTGCAAGATTGGGCCAAGACCAGTTAGAAACTGCAAGAAAAAACAGTAAATTATGCGTTCGACGGCCTACCGGTTCAATAATTGGCAAAAACGGAGGGTGGCCTCGGCTAGTGGTACCGCTCTTTCTCCTGTGGCCTGGCCTGGCCTGGGAGCAGGTACCAGTAGCAGGCCCTACCGTTTCTGGCTTCTGGCGGGACCCAGTTCGGGTTGGAAAACGACCCCACTTGGTCACTACAGGAAAAGCCACTGACCGTGCCACTCACCCCGTTAACATCCGCCCCATTCTCTCTCTCTCTCTCTCTCTCTCTCTCTCTCTCTCTCTCTCTCTCTCTCTCTCTCTCTCTCTCTCTCTCTCTCTCTCTCTCTCTC